CGCGAGACCCTCTGGCGGCGCGGCGGACGTTCGGCTGCTTCGGTCGCGAGTGACGACGACGACGACGACATGACTTCGACGGCGACGGTGGCTGTCGGTATACCAGCGAGGGTATCGACGCCGCCCCGCGGTACCTGCGATGACGACTGCAGTGCTGCACGGAGACGACTAGTGCCGGCAACGGCGGGGACCACAGAGCTCCATCCGAGCTTAGGTCACCTAACCTTTCGCCGGCACGACAGTCGACGTCTTCGGAGCCCGCAGCACCGTCGAGCGCATAACATCGCGCACTACCCGCTCGTCGGCCAACCGTCATCCTCGTCGTCCATCTCGCGGCCGTCGTGGCCGGGCTTCGTCCGCTGCCATGGTCGTCTGCGTCCCGAGCAAACGCGCCCGCGACCCTCGTCCGCCCAGAGGGACCGGCCGGACATCTGTGTATTGGTAACCAGTGGCCATTTACGTCTTGCCGACACCATTGCACCACCCGCTCGCCATCACGTACCCCCCACTTCACTTTGTCTTGTCTGATGCCTTTTTTTTTTGTTATATATTGTTTATATTGTTTTTTGCAATTTATTGCTTTGCACCTATACTGTGTTTTTTTTCAATTTTCGGCACACAACCATTCAAAATTTTGCAATGTCCTGCGTTTTTCATTGTTCGTATTAAAGAGTATGATTTTCTTTGTTTCGACAGAATAATGGACTATAAAAAATATAAGCGAACAATGTTGTTATATTACGTACCAATAATATCAATAAAATGTATCGAAGGTCTTGGCTACGTGAAAGTACAAGTTTATCGGTGTAGTGAGATTTATCCTGCCTCAAAACATGATACCAGACACAAAAATCAATACATTAATCACTCGACTCAGAATCGTATATAATAATACTAATAACTATTGTTTGTGTTTTTGTTGTATCAACACCACGTAGGTATATTGTTTTCGTAAAAGTGTAGGAACTTAGAGTAAAGCTACTAGAGTCAGACGAGTGACGATCGAATCTGCACACGTTGTCCATCGACGAATAGTATAAAACATTTGACATTTAAATGAATAAAGAAATTGAAATAAAAAAAATAAAAACACTTATATACCTAAGCTATAATAACCTTTGTTGAAGAAAATTGATTAATAAAAAAAAATATCCGTAAACAGCTCAAAACGAGTCAAAATATTTTGAGTATAGTATAGGTGAACCATAGGAAATCACAAAATAAACATAGTAGTAGTATATGCCATTGGAGGTGTACAATTACACATACTAGACACAAAGTACAGAGCTGGGCACTAAAAGGGCTGATTTTCGATAAATTATAATATAAAAAAACGAATACAAATTTATTTATTTATTAAACTAACTAGCCATTTACTTTTTAAAAATTATGTCCTCACGATGGTGGCGATCTCTTCCTAAGCACTCTTCTAGCGTCTAGCCTACTTCGCATATACTTTTCACTTGTATCTACACGGTGTATCACTTATTCATTCTTAGAGCTGTACTGCCGATTTCTTCTTTAATTTTGTTTTTGAGTTGATCAATAAGTATTTCGAGGTTTCTGTGCATAGGTTTTACTTTTTAAATACCCCAACAAAAAAAAAGTCAGATACTGATAAATTAGGTGATTGAGGTGGCCAATTTCCAACGATATTATAACATAAACACGTTCTTCATCACTCCAATGCTTCATGTTTACTTTATAGCATGTTGTTTTTGACCTATTATGATATTTAGTAAGAATTCTTATCTCAAGTATTAAATTGGAAAAATCGACTGTTTCGGTGCCATACCCTGTATACAATTCAAAATGTGAATAAATGTATTAATTATAATTTATTAGGAATTCATTAAACATTTAATATAAATATAATGCACACATTACTTGTCTTATTCAAAACATTTTTTATCTTGATTTGTATTTTGTACAAATAGTATTTAAAAAGGCGGTATTTCGTTTAGACAATATACTTATATGTATGTGCAGTGGCGTATCTATGCTGGGGAGCTTGAGGGCTTCAGCCCCCCACCATTGGCCCTGTTTTGGCATAAAAATTATATAAAAAAAGTCAAAGTATCAATCCATTATATTTCTGAAAATGGTTTTGATGAAACATTTTCAGTTTTATCAATTATTTGTAGAGGTTATCTCGATTACGGAATATAGTCATAACGACCTAGTATAAGGTAACGGATATCAAATTCTGATTTACTTTATTAACAGCCCCCCCCCCCAAAGCTGGGTATGGGCACTGGTTTTTATGATAAAAATATATTACATATATATTATAATATTAATGGGATGGTTAAATAATCTAGTATTATTAGTTTATGTAAAAACCATAGACCTCATACTATATAGATAAGAACTGTGTATAACAATAGCATTACGAGAGACATAACAACATATCACATTGTTGTAGCCTATGTTAACGAAAAAATACATTTTCTATATATCTATAATCTTCATCCGTATATCTTAATCCGCCCTGTCTAGACTCTAGAATATAGTGAATTAGTGTGTGAATGATAAATTATGAGAAACTGTTCATAACTTTTTCAATGGACAATCCATTACACGATATTCAAGGATACCAAATACAACTTCGTACTTGAGGATCAAACATTCAAACCAAGCAGAAGTAATGAAACAGATGCTGAAGACAGTCGTGTTACACTTAATGAACCTGATGATTGAAGCTAGGTAAATTATGACCACGAAAATGTGTGTGCATTTTGAAACCAGTAAGTTGAGTTCCGGATATAAAAATGGAGAGCACTCGAGTTGCACCTTATAAAAAAGGTATACATGAATTGCGTTTCAAAATACCCAGGACTCAATTCGTGTACTTTAATAATCAAGGGTTCTTACACAACTTATCAATGAAATAAATAATGAATAATAAATAACAATTATATATTAGTATATATGTTAATGTATCAATATTGTTAATTTATGATGATTATATAACAAAAAAAAAATATATATACATATAATCACAAGTCAATAAAAAATAAAAAAGTAAATAAACATCGAATCAAAATCAATATGGTCCTAAATATAATATAATAAATAAATAATAATTGTAATGATATCAATCAAAATGTCAGTCAAAAATTAGGCTTATACTTACTATACGATAAACGTTTTACAAAATCTAAATTTGTTATTTTATTTTCATTTACAGATATACTATAGGTAGAGTAAAGACGCCTTTATAATTATTGCACCACGAAGAACCCCTGAAAACGAAAAAAATGCTTCTACCTAACCAATATGGCGGGACTCAATCGTGTGTACTTTTTTTACGGGACGCAACTAAGGTGCCACGTAAAGGGATAGTGGGTAAAATATACTATATAGTATATATTAATACAATAACCCGATTTGAGTTTGTTGTATCCTTATCATTATGGTTTTTACGAAGAGCATGATATTATAAAAAACAAATACATTTTAATTTAATTATAATAATAGAAATTAAACTTATTTTTAATTTATGCAATTTATACCAAGAACATAATATTTATAATTTATTTATACCATATATTTATGTAAAACATACTATTATAATAAAAAAATATCTTTTAATTTAAACAATAAATATAAGATTCGACTCCTTGTAAAGACGATTATTCGTTTCAAAAAAATTATTATTATTAATATTATTACTATAAATGATAAAAAAGATATGAACATAACTAGGTACTAACACTTTTTGTTGGGACCCAAATTACCGAGTTAATATAATTTGGGACCCAATTTACCAACTTGTTCCGTGCAAGGCCGTATCTCAAGAGTTAAGGAATATTAATTTCTCTTGGGCATCTTAAGTGTTATTTTTAAAAGCTATTAAAAATATCGATAGGTCCGCTTGAAATTCAAAATAAAAACTACTTTTATAGAGGAATGCACTGATTGACTGTCAACAGTGTACAGTGTAAACCAAAACTATTTTCGAATACCGATAAACCCGAAACTCTTATAAAAAACAAAAGAATATGGACAATTTAAAAACCATAACGAACAGAATAGAATAATAATAATAATCTAATCATTCTAATCAATATAATAATTATAATATCTAATATCATTGACTACAAAATTCTAAATAATATTATATTACATATATTTATGCTCGTAGAACGAAATATTATGCCATACAATATGTCTCATGCTGATCGCTAATTTTACTGTGTACATATGAATCTACTAAGAAAGGATTTTCGGAAATTCAACCCTTAAAAGGAAAATTAGGGTCGTAAGAATAAAATAGTGGCGTCACCAGCCCAGGAAAATCAAATTTTAGTTTTAAATATATACCAGGAGAGCCATCTTTCCAGTAGGGTTTGAACCCTACCCCCCTCCTATTTTTTTTGAAATAAGATTTAATTATTTTTTAAATAAAGATTAATTTAATTTAAATAATATTTTTATGCTTTCATACTTTATTGTATAATATAACATATTTATAAATCCCCCCCCTAAATATTTTTCTGGCTACGGCCTTGTGTGGGTATCAATAATAGTTTTATTACGATTAATATATATTGTTTTCTTTATTGTTTTCCATAAACAAGTTTATTATTATTCCTAATCATTATCAATAGAGTTCAATCCTTAGATCATATACAATGTATGGAGCTACTTCAATTATTTTATGTGTCAGAAACATCACTCCCCGCTTTTGAGTTATTTTGTATTGATTGTTGGCACGACGCTTGCGCAATAACGCGTTGATTCTTGAAATGAAATGGGTGGAGCTCACCCTCCACGGTGGATGGGATTATGTAGGTTACAGCTTGGTATACGAGCAGTACACTACATACGTAGTCCCACCCATTGTATATGATTTAAGGATCCCCCGGATGGCGGGGAACGCGCCAACTAACCCACGTGCAGGCTGACGTAATAGAATATAAGGGTGAAGGATAAATATGGTCATACTGTTCGATGTTATCCTCCATGACCCAGATAACCTAACTTACCCCGAATGACGCTGCAGGTGTGTATTGATTTTTGTTTGCTATACTACGACGCAATAACAATTTATTACTCTGCAACAAGTGCTCACGGGTCTCATTCGTTCGTTTCGCGTTAATATTATACTTTGTGGTTCATTTCATAATTGTATACAAGTCAATTCTGATCATTCGTCGGTGTTGTTCTTGGTAAGAGTGCACATTTTTGGTTACTGTCGAAGATTTCGTTGGAAATTCTAAAATTAATTTCGGAATTCATCCATAAAACTACACAAAACAATTAGGACAACAGGTGATTAAAAAAATATATATTTATTATGCTACTATACTAGTGACGTCTTCTGTTTATCCAACTTAACCTACTAAAAAGTAAAGTCACATGCATTTGTAAGGTAATATAATAAAAATAGTTGTAATTATATTATGACTTCGTTGATAATTTATGTTTGGAATAAATGTACCTATTTTGCTATAATTTCAATTGGTCAAATATTTGTTTGTGAAATAGTTTGATGATCTCGGTTGAACAAAGAACACATAAATCACTAGGTAGTCGGTATATTATATTTTATAGGTATCAATAACTAAATATTATGTATAATGCAGTGGTGTATACGGGATTTTGCTACCTCAGTCTACGTCTACTCCACTATTCACTAAGTCTAGGTGTACAATTTCCGACTTCAGCTAATTTCGTTAATAATCGTTTATACACCTAATCACAGATGAAATGTATTTTTGAAAGACCACTATAGTTTTTATAGATTTTTATACAAATATGATTTTCAAACCGATTTATTTAAATTTAGTTCTGGAATATTTAAAAATTAAAATGTAAATGTGTTTTTTACTTATTAGTTTTATTATTTTTTCTTCGTACCTCCAAGGACTTACCATGAAAACGCTATAATTATATAAATATTATTGTTTTTTAGGCATTCAATAGTAATTTATTTCGATAAATTAAATCCCATTATCTTAATCGCTCTCCCTCTTTTATTGTAGCTATAATAAGATCTCTCATGAAAAATATTATTCATACCTATAGGTATTAGATAGGTACTTAAAACATTTTCTGTATCTCTCTGCTATTATATAAAATAATTAAAAAAAAACCTGTGGGTATCAGTACCATAGACCTTATACTACTAGACAAGCAAAATTAGTGTATAGGAAGTATAATTACGAGTACATAGAAGGCGCTCGATCTTTACTCGTTTTCTCAATATGTTCGGTAGTGTAGGGTGGTACTGTAGTAGGGTAAGATAATATAATATAGATTATTGTATTTTGTCTAAAAGACAGCTTATACATCACTGTGTGATATTTGTTCACGTCACTCATAAATCATTGAACGATGAAAACACAAACTTAACATGTTATATAAATATATATTTTCAATTTTGATGTAGTGTAGGGACGTTGTTACCGTATACCATACTTTTTAAACATTAAAAACTGTTGTTACCTGTTACACCTGTTAGCTTCTATCAGTAAATGCAAACTCTTTGTCAGAGCCAAAGAAAAATATTATATCTAATCCAAAGAGTCAGACTCGGGAAGGACTGTGCACCCCTCTACTTATAACTCTTGCTGACGTATTCCTCGCTACACTAAATGATATTGAAAGACAATATAATAATATATATAACATTTTTTATAAAATTCCAATGAAATTTAAATATTTATTTAACTATTATCTTTGGTTGTGTGTACTGACATACCTACGTATTTTAAAGTACGTATTAATAAAATCATAATAATATATTGATTTTATAGTAGACTGATAATAATTACAAATTAAATATAAATAACAAAAATATCTAGGTAACCAAGAAACATATTATAACAAAATATGAATTATTATATTAAATATGTGTTTGTCGAGAGTGGGGGTTTACGACTCTGCGTTAAATAATTCGCTATCGCCTAATCGCTAATCGCTTGTGCAGTAAAAAAGAACTTCAACAATTATCATAGTTATGAGCAGTGTTTGGAAAGAACGTCGTTCATGAACGCACGTTCACGCGTTCACGTTCATAAATAGTGAACGATACGTGAACGTCACTCGTATTTTTAAAATAGAACGTGAACGTGAACGAGTTCATTTTTTTAGTGAACGTTCCGAACACTGGTTATGAGTATTGAAATATAAAAAGCATTTTAGATAAAACATCCAATGGTGGTTTGCAAAATTTATCAAGGATAGATTGCACTAACTTTTTTCGAATTGCACTCTAGAAAGAATAGAATAATGATCAAATATTGAACTTGGGTTCAAAAAGGAATGTTCGAATTGCACTTGGTCCTATTATTATAATAAAATCTATTTTCTAACTAATATCATTCGTTGGTCGTTTTAAGAATAATTTGTAATTTTAATATCTTAATAGTTTATTGTTTTTACTATAGGTACCTAATATTGCTAATAATAAAATAAATAAAAATAATAATAATATAATTTAATAACTACGGTACCTATTTAAAAACAACAATATTTAAAAATACTCATAAAAAACTTGTTAATATTTTTAAAATTCATAAATAGCTATAATTTAAATTTTAAATAACTTTTTTTCCGTTCAAAAAACCAGAAACGAGTGTGAACTGTTTAGCACAATTCTGCCACCCGTTGGAGTTTATTCGCCAAATGCAAAATTTGAAATACCTAATACATAGGTAGTTACAACTTAAATAAGTATTTAAAACAATAATAATGAATATGTATTTACATTATTTCTCATTTGAAATACGTTGGGTAAAAACGTCACTTTTCCAAACTATTGGTATGTTTGGTTTATTAATATTATTTTTGTATAGTACCCATACTTTTATTTTGTTTTTAAAAGCATGATAATTTTCTAAAAAAATTTATATTTACATTTCTTTAACATACAACATGTTTTAATGGATCATCCAGATTCCTGATTTTCTAAGTAGGTATAGAACATTACCTTCCAAAAGCTGAAAATAATCTGTCCTAGTATGTACCTATAATTGGTCAATTTTTTATACATTTTAAAACTATTTCAATTTAGATTTTTAGATACTGAGATAGATTTTAATTTGGTATTTAAAGGTTCCTAACTAAAGTTCAATTGATTTTGATTTATATAAATATTTGCTAAACTTAACACCATGCATAATTTAATTGGGCAATAAACTATTTTTGAAATAAATTATATTAATTATGTAAGTAGGTAACTATTTCTGTACTTCAAAAAAATAAAATTGTACTAGAGTTAATAATTGCATTTAACAATTATTATATGAGAGGACTATCATTTAAAAATTCATAAATTGATAAATATTACCTACTTTAAAAAGTTAGCAAGACAGAAATAAGGTTACCTACCTTATAATTTATAACTTTAAAAAGGATATATTCTAATACAACCTAATATAAAATATATTTTGAAAAATTTTCATGAAGTTAATTTTGTAGTTATTAGTTGTATTTTGAGAATGCTTTACTATTTTAGTGATTAATAAATGTAAGAAATATAAATATAAATTTTATTTTATATTTCTTACTAATGAATTATCGTCATTTACATTGTGAATATATAATGACCATAATCTTCATTATTATATATTTTACTAATTACATTAAAGTATTTTTCAGGTTCATCATATGAAAAGTGTTGAAGTATAAGAATCAGTCACCAAGAAATACGAAGAAAAATTTATGATCTAAGGATAATTTTTAGAAAGATTCTGAAACAAATACATCTACAAAATAATACTAATTTTGTCTGAAAAAAATAAAATTTTAATTCTACTATGAACCGAGGACCAAATCAACGAAGACCAGCTTCTACTCAGAGAGTAAATGGAATTAACCAAGCCAGGTTTTCCAATATAGCTTATAATGGAGCATTCAATCCTGCCATGAATCCTATTATTACTCATAATAATATGACCCATAATAATCATGGAACAGTACAAAATAATGGTCAAATCTTTCGTCAAGTCAATAACTATCCTGCAATTCGAAATGAACACATTGCATTTGGTATTGAACCTAATAATAACATAGTGCATCGACGAAAAAATCAAATTGTTCCATCTGTTGGTCACATTTTACAGCTTTCTCAATCTTCAGTGAATTATTTTCGTCCAGGTAATTTCTAATCTTGTTAATTTAAAATGTTAATAAATAATAATTTAGAGTCTATACTTAAGAGTTTTGCATTTTTAAAATCATAATAAATTCCACACAATTCCACTTTTTTTTTATTATTACATAAATATTGTTTTTATATTTATGTATATTTTTGTAAATACTTATTAGCACGGTTCGGGACTTACCACAATTATAATCATCAAAATAAAGGCTAAAATACTTCGTTATAACCACACTGAAATACACATTTAGAAATATTAAAATAAGCAAAAAATAAGCTGGCTAGCTAACCTAACTAACGAGTAGCTACCGGACTAACCGTTGTTTATTACTAGAAAATATGATTCAAACGGGTAAAATTATTTTTAGTTCTAGTGAATAAAAACCAAAAAAAAAACGGAAATCAACTAGAATTTCTAGGTTTTTGTACTGAAAATAAGCATTTTTTTTAAAAACTGTTGAAAAAAGCACTTTCAAATGTAATAGGTAATTGAACATGTTGTAACATGACATACACTTCCATAACACTGCTAGATTTTATGAGAAACCATCCAAATAAGCAAATGTTATTAGTCCTGAGCCTTCCTTATTAGGTATACCTAGTATATTTTTAAATCTTTGGAATTTTTTTAAACTAATAATACCTTATTGTTTAAAGTTAAAATTTGACTTATTTAGGTAAGTTAGGTTTTTTGATTATGCGTTTTTGATTTTGTAGAACCTACTAATAATTTGTATCACATAATCTCACCGATTACAACTCCAGAGGCTGTTGAAAGACGGAGACCAATTATTATTGATGGCTTAAATATTGGTTACTCGTAAGTATATTCTACATACAGTTTATTCTAGCTACCTTTTACAATAATGTTGAGTAAAATTATAATAAGATTAAGACCTAAGGACAGAAGTGATTAAAATTATATTTTGTTTTTACAATAATAAATTATAATATCCACTAAGAGAGAATCAATCTCGTATTTTGATTCATATACTACAGATAGGTAGATAATAGCCCAATAGCCAATAGGCTAACATGCTTATGGGTGTGCGCTGAATTAGATTTGTCAGATAAATCATTGTTACATAACCTTACACAGTTACACATATAATGTAAGACCTTCCTCGAAATCTTTTGATTATTTACTACAACTATTACTACATCTAGGGTTAAAATATCTGCAAATAATTAGGTAGTGTCCATTTTTTAAATTAATTTCGGTGTTAATATATATTTATATCACTAATTATTGTCCTCACAAAAAGTTTTGTTTTTATTATATATGGACATATTAAACTTAGAATAAGACTTTGTGATAATATTAAAAGCTTAAAATGTTAATAAATAATGGGTTTGTTGTTTATATATTTAGACATGGAAAACACAAGAAATTTTCTGCAATTGGCATGTTTTTATGTGTACAGTTTTTCATCTTCCAAGGATTTAAATCCGTGAAAGTTATGATACCACAACATCATAGAGGAATGCCTGGAACACCAACTCATTCAATCATTAGTTTTTTGATTGACCAGGGTCATATTTATTTTACACCCAGTAGAGAAATTCAAAACGTTCGTCTGACATGCTACACTGATCGGTAATCTTAAATTTATTTAGTATTATATACATCATATTATCATTTTAGATTTTACTGTTAAATGTTTTAGTATAATTAGTTATTACATATATTATGAATAAAATATGACAGTGCTATCTAGTATATAACTTAACAGCAATCCATTATACAAAAAACTAATTTAGTACAATTTTATACCTACTTTTTGAATGGGCTCTGACTTCATGTTATGAATATATTACATACATAAACAATAACTATTGTTATATTTCTGTGCATATTATTAACATAACTTGCTCAAACCTAAAGTTCCATCACTCATTTGAAAAAAACTAGTTTTCTATGATGAAGTATTAATACCTACCTATTATTATGCACAACTATACTTTTAAAAAACTATAGTAGGTATAGCTGCATATTAGCATTTACAGTGTTACATATTTTATAACTTTGAGAAAGGATGTAAATAATTACAATTTCTATATTTTTTTTTGCTTTTACTGCTTAGGATAGATCTTAGTATACAATATATTAGTATAATAGTAGCAGCGGCGTAAACAGGAATTTTCATTGGGGGGGGGGGGGGG